AACTCGATGGATTTTCGATGCTGGTGAGGCATCGGCATAGAACTCCTCAACGGAATTATAACCAAACATGTCCACAGTCATTAATTCGTCAAATTCACGAATAGAACGGCTCTATATGAGTAAAATGAATATATTTCCTCATAAATTGAAATGAAAAAACACTACTAATTAATCGACAAGACATTCAATCCCAGAAGTCAACATATATACATATATACACAAATTGCATGCACCCAAGAGATGGTTAGCACAAATTCCATTCTTCAACAGAGAGAATCAATGGTGCTATTCCTCAATCCAGGAAGGAAGTTAGATAAGTCTATACCTAAATAATCACGAAATTGACCTTGATTTAATCATTACTACTATCCTGATCAAATTTCTATCCCACCCAACTCACCTTGAGTACACGTTGAATATCATATTTTTCAGAGAGAACTTCAGCGTTCCGAATGACGAAATTACGTAGGTCATTTGTCAGAGAATAGTTGAATAGGAACCAGTCGGGAGATTTTTCCAACTTTTCGATCGTTTGGGAGACATTCCAAGGCATGCAGATGCACATGGCAGCTGTGAGGGGACAAGGTTTGCCAGGTTCTTTCTGCTCGTCAGCCAAGTAATTGAACACCAGAAGTCTAGATGAGAAATTGAAAGTTGCAAAACAACAACAACAAAGCTAAACAGCTTTTATCCTAAATATTTAATTAACCACAAAGTGTTTCTAATTCATAAAGGATGCATAATTTGATGATGTGACTGAAAGTACTTGGTCATTAAACTGCATACTTTTAGATTAAGGTAATTTTAGGTTAAGGTGACCCCAGGCCACTGTTGTGTTCCAGTATAGGAGGATTACTTTGCTTAAATAATTAAGTTGTAAGAGAAAATGTCGTATTAACATGACTCAAATTCAAGCTTATATTTGAAACACGCTCGATATCTATAAAAAAGCGCCAATTAAAAACAGTATTTGAGCTTTGTAAGCTTGCTTCTAATTCCAAAAGAATAAGAGCATGAAAATAAAAATTGGTAACATAACGCCTAAACTATAATTTTAAGCAAAACGGAAAATTCAAAGAGCCCGAAATTAAGCACCATAAGAATAGACAACGGCTAACAAACTGCATTCTTATGAAAACTATCAAATCGGATTCATCCCCAAGAGAAACAAAAACAATAAAATATGACCAAAATAATCCAAGAACAAATAGGAAAAGTTCAGCTGACTTACGCTCCAAGGGAAATTCCAACTGCCACCATTGGAGCATCTGGATATCGGTTTCGGATCAGCTCGAAAACGGTCGCAACATCGGAAGTATGAGCAGCACAATAGGTTTTCGGTGTCTGCTAAATACACCCTAAAGCTCATTTATACCAACCTTCAACTTGTGCCGACATGTCCCACGGTTGTTCGAAACAACACAACGGTAATTCAGACTGTTTATCTCCTTCACCAGACTAGTTATGTAACTGCAACAGCCACATCCAGTTAATCCAGGTAAAAGAACCACAATTGGTGTATCCTCCGACATTCCTTCCACATTGCTCCACGACAATTGCATT